TTTCGTCTGGGGCATTGGCCCACAGCAACCCCCAAGCCCCGCCGTCGCTTCCCCCACTGCCCACAGCCCCCCCCAAGCCCCGCCGCCGCTCCCCCCACTGCCCAAAGGCCCCCCCCACCCCGCACAACCCCCTACGCAAATGCGTCAAACGCGTTCACACGCATCCAGTGAACGCACGTTCACCGTGTTCATACCCTGAACATGAACGCGTGGTAACACAGGGGGTGATGACGATACGGTTTTGCGACTGCAGCGTGAATTAGCAGAGTTACATCGGCAGATTTATGGCAAGCAGTGTGAGAGCGATGAGATTTTCGCCTTGAACAAGGAGATTGAGGAGCTGCGGGGTACGACTCTTATGAAGACTAATTTCGAAAATGAGATCGCTGGCTTACGCAAGGAGGTTGGTTTGCTCCGTGATTTTAGCCATCGAGCTGAGGAAGAAACTAAGATCTGGAAGACTGAGGTGCTTCGGCCTGAGAACGAGCGCGGGAGCGTGGCGGTTGATACACCAGAGTGCTCGAATCGGGGTACTTCTAAACCAAGGTGGACAAACAATGTTCGTCAGGCGGATAAGTGGAGGACTGAGTATCAGAATCTTCAAGACTTGCAGCCCTCTTCGGACACTGAGGTTGCGATGCTTAAGGAGAGGCGTGGTGAGGCAGAGAAGAGGAGAATGGAAGCCGAATTGCAGGTGAAGCTATTGCAAGAACAGTTAAGCAAATTGACAGCGGAGGGCGAGGCTCCTAAGTCGGATGCGGAACCTGTTTCCGGCGGTACGAATCTGAAGGAGCGTCTTGAGGCGGTAGCGTTAAGGTCCGGCAAGAAAGGGATGAAGGCCACGCCCTATCAGGTCACCCTTCGTTCTGATGAATCCGATGAGCGGACTCGGGTTATGAATGAACGTTTCTCTTTTATTGAGGGCGAGAAGAAGAAGTTGCGTACTCTGAAGAAGGCTGGTCTCGAACCACTCTGCAAGGATGCGGGAATCAAGCTTGGGAGGGTGGAAGACATGATCAATGAATTAGCTGAATACTGGGCCAACAAGCTGTTTGGCAAACCTGGGGGTAAAGGTAAGCAGCAGATTTCTGATTCGGTACAAATCGTGGACGCGGAGGAGGGCCCTCACACCGATACTTCGGACGTTGGGAGGAGAAGAGTGCCGAGTTTTGAGGAGACGTCCCGAATGTAGCTAAATTATGGTCGCTGGCTTTTGATTGTCGTATTAAGCGCTGTGCTGGTTCCGCTCTGTCGGCTGTTTCTTCTTTGGCGAGTACGACCAATGAGGCTGTTTCCTCTTCTTCTTCTCTCCCCTCTGCTATGGACTCTCCTCCTCGTTCTGCTATCTTTTCTCGGCTTCCCCTTCCCTCCTCTTCTTCTTCTTCTTCGGACAATTCGTCGGACTTCTTCTTACGGGATCGGGAGTTCAATGCCTATTTTCGGTTGCTGGTGGTCCATCTAATTCTCCGTGGACGGATCAGCTGGGCGTGGGCGGATCAGCTGAAGGGGTACCTATTTGATTGGCTGCATGAGGGATCCGGTTTTGAGGACTGTGCGGGCCCCTTGGTTTACGTTCTGATTTCTCCTTGGACTCGTCACATCTACGTAGGATCCACCACTCGATCTTTGCCAGTGCGATGGAGTGAACATGTCTCTCGTGCGCTGAATTTGGGGGTGGCGCAATCATAAACTGTATGGATGGCTGCAGCGCTGTCGGGTTGGGCAATATGTAGCTCTTCCTCTGTTTTGCTGTAGTGAAGGCGATGTTCTCTACATGGAGAAATGGATTATTCGCTGGTTGTGTCCACATTTGAACTCTCGTGATAAACCTGGGAAACCTAAGCGGAGGCGCTTGGGCAAGCACGAAAGGAGACGTAGGGCGTGTCGAGAGGTTGCGTTGGGTTCCCATCGACCTTGCCACACTCATATGCTTTTCTGTTACTCCATTGGGGTTGTTTCGCCTCGGTTCTCCGTGATTCTAGATGCTTGTGTGTCTTCTAGGGTGTCTTCTGTTTGGATTGCGTGTGTTGGGGGTGAACGCTTAGCGGAGAATTGGAAGGTTATTAAACGGAAGTTTGGCTCCTCGCTGATCCAATCGGATTCGGGCACGACGCTGTTGAGGAAAGGGAAAGGCTTGTTTCTACCGGGGTGCCGTTTGCTGGTTTCTGCAATTGTGGCTTTCTTGTCGCTAGCTTTGATTCTGAAACTGACCTTATCCAATCTGCTTTCTGACCCTCCCTCTCGTAAAGACTTGATGTGTTGGGATTTTGCTGTATTGGTTAGGGCCTTTACTGCTATTCGGGCCTTTTCTGAGAAGCTTTCTCGCTTTCGTCTGCGGCTCATCATGTCGGGTGTGATCAGGAAGCGTTTCCATGTAAATGTCAGGCAGCGTCTGATTGTACAAGTCACATATGATGTTGTGATTAGCAAGCCTGCATTGCGCTCTTTCTGTGCTGAACGGATTATGATGGCCGATGCTGATGATGAGTGGAAACGGATGACTGTGCGCAGGATGAGAATTGTTTGGTTAAAAAATCAGCGTGTTGGGGACTTGCTTTTCAATTTCAGAACGGCGGCAAGGAAGGTTGAACTGGTTTGCACTTGTGATTCCGTTGGTCACGGTTTTCAGCGGGTAGGTGGCCATGTGTGCTTCCGTTTGAATGATTTAAGAGAGAACTAGGGCGCTGTCAGGGTTAGAGTTTGAAAATACGTTTCGAACTGCCTTTTTGGAGTCCAAGCCCCTCTGAAGTTTACACTGCAGTCCAAACTCTTCGGTCGCGTGCCTGTCACAGGGCAGAGTTTCTAACTGCAGTCTAGTCATCCACGTCGGAGGGCCAGGCCGTTTTCCAAAAAAAAAAAGAAGAAACAAGAAGAAAAAAAGAAAAGCTCGTGGCGCTGTATCTTTCCATGATCTAGCGGAAGATTCACTCTCAGTTTCCACGATCGAAATGTGCAAAGATACAGCGCCACGAGCTTTTCTTTTTTTCTTCTTGTTTCTTCTTTTTTTTTTTGGATACACGTGCTGAAAACAACACAGTTTCTTTTCTTTTTTTTTTCTTTTTTGTTTTTCCTTCTCAGATTTCCCTACCTATGCTTGTCATCCTTGGGGCCTCCAGGCGTTGCATCTTTCCTTGTTCTAGCGGAAGATTCACTCTCGTTTTGCACTTTTTTTTGTTTTTTATTTTTTTCATATCTCAGCACCGTCGCGTGGCTGGCCACTGCCGCGATGCCTCCGCCACAGCCTAGGTAAAAAAAAGAAAGAGAGAGTGCAGAGAGAGTGCATCTCGTCACGTGGCTGGGCCACGGCCGAGATGCCTCGGCCACGGCCGAGATATTAAAAAAAAAAAAAAAAAAAAAAACATGCCGGACTGCACTGCAGTTGCAAACTCGGCCTTGCGACTGTTGTGCATGTAGAGAGTTTCGACTGCAGTTGAAACTTGTGACCGGACTGGACTCCAAAACGGCAGTTCGAAATGCAATTACAAACTGCTTTCGTGACTGCGCCCTAGTTACCCCATGATTTAAAGGATGCTCCTGCATGTCTTCGGAATAACCGGAACGTTGTCCGTCTCTCCTGCATGTCTTCGGACCGTCCCTCTCGGCATGATGTGGTGGGGAGATTGAGGACGCAGATTTTGAGTTCTTTCCGGGATCTTGGTTTTGATGTCCCGGAGGTTATACGCCTTGATCTTGCTGTTTGCATTCTTAGCATTAATGAGGTCTGGAGGGACGTTCCGGGTGTGTGTAATAGTGAGGAGATCGTTGCCTGGACTAAGAAGTGTGAGGGACTGGTGCGAATCGCGATTGACCATAACCTGGGTGATACATTGGTCTGTTGCCCGGTCAAGTACTTGGCAGGCATGAATCAGTTGTTCTTGTGTAATGATGGCTTTGTCAAATGCGATGAGAGTGAGGAATCTGTGTTAGCTGGTACCCGGGCGGCGTACTTGTATGGGAACTTTGATCTATTGGCGCGCTGGGATACCAGGGGCAAGTTTGGGAGGGCTTACGTGATACCAAAACACAAGGACGTGAACAGATGGCGTCCTATTTGTCCCTCCTTTTCGGAGTGTAGTGTGCAGGCCTGTCGCAAGATTGCTTGTGCCGTTAATTTGATGGTATGGGAATTGCCGAAGCGCTCGAATTTTAATTTGAAGAGTACGGATTTGTTGGTCTACTCCCTCAATTCGGTCAACAAGGATCTGAGGAACTTAGAGGAAGGGAGAGGCTTTGCTGACCGCTGCTTTCGACATGAAGAAGATGTTCTGTAACCGCGGCAGTGGATTGGTTGATTGTATTCTGGCGACTTCATGAGGTAGAGGGTGTGTCTATTAAAAAGATGGGCAAAGGTGCTAAACTGCTAAGATGCAGCAGTGAGGAGGGTTGGGAGACTGATGGTTCTGATGTCATCAGGGATTTTGTGATGTTTGATCTGCGGCATACCTTTACCGTTGCTAGCGGTCGACTATTGCAACAGATGATTGGCATACCGATGGGTAAGCCCTCTAGCCGGGCCATTGCTTGCCTTTTGTGCCTTTTCTGAGTTTTCTTTCTTATCTTCCTTGGGCAAGGACAGGTGCCTGGTGCACGGTATTCGGTTAATCGATGATGTTTCTCTGCTGGTGAGGTATAAGCAGGATGATGAGGTCTCCATTGATAAGGCCCATGGCATTTTGAAGGCCTTCGCGAACTCCTATAACTCCAACCTTACACTGGAATGTACTAGCACTTCGTCGTGTTGGGATTTCTTGGGGTGTGTGGTTCGTGTCTTTGATTGCTCTATTGGGGTGAGATGTGCGGCGGTGCATAAGAACCAGCGAATGATTCTTGAGAAAGGTGTGTGTTTTCAGAATTTGCAGCCTTTGCAGGATGATTGCTCCTATGTGAGGAAACAGCAGAAGATGGCTATTGTGGGATCTCTCTTGTATCCGGCTCTGAGATTTGCGTCCATCCCTGGGCCTGAAGCTGCCTTCTTACTCGCTCTTAAGGTGGAACTGCGTCTGAGGGGTTTCAAGCCTTCAAGGACGAACTTTTTTACGACTCCCTGGTTAGTTTTTCTTCGAAGTTTGGAGGAGTTTGGGATGATTGGGTTGAGGTTTTGACGGGATGGGACTATTTTCTCCCGAATAAGGGTAATCCCTTCTTGGGGTCTGAGAGGTGTTGACTTAAGCTGATTTCGTAGGGCCTGTTGTTGGGAGTCTGTTTTCTGGGGGGCGATCCTTCTGTTTTTGGTCCCTCCTGGTCTGCGTCCGTATAAGTAGCACCTGCTTCCGGTTGATGTCACTCATCCTAACGTAGACCCCTGAAGAGTCAGTTCCGGCGACCGGACGAAACATGTCGGGTCACCCGCCTGTGAACCTGGGTCTCGGTTTTGACCATTGGAGCTGTTGCTCATTTGCGTCCAGGTTCCTATGGCTGTGCTTTGAGGTTGTTATCTTGTGCCAAGTCACGTTCACGAGTTTTCGACATGTGGCAGTGTGCTTTTCTTCTTCTCTTTCTCCTTCCGCCTTTTGCATAATGTGTGTTGGCTATTGATGAGTGATAGGTCCCTGTGGACCTTCGTTGTGGTTTCTCTGCTCTGTTTGACTTCACGATGGATGTGTTGTGTTTACACACTGCCACCGGGGGCCAAGTCCCACTAGCAGCGTTGAGCTACCTCAAGGCCTGAATCTGGGCTTGTTTGTGGATACATGCAGTTCAGCAAACTCAACACCATTTCGTCCAGATTCAGGCGTTGAGGTAGCTCAACACTAGACTTGGCCCCCGAGATGCGTCGGCCACGTTTCTTGTTTCTTGTTTTTTTTTTTCGCGGCCGTGGCCAAGGCATCGGCCGTGGGCACGCCCAGATGCGTCGGCCATGCCCAGAAAAAACAAAAGGGGTAACTTCGGCGCGGTCACGAAAACAGTTTGTAATTGCACTTCAGGCAATCCAGCGAAGACAACACCCCCCCACACAACCCCACCGGACCCGAAACGTAGGTCATATACATTCACCATTACCGGCCCTTTTGCCTCAAGTGCAATTACAAACTCGAACCCTGACTGCGCCGTAGTTTTCTCAAAAAAAAAAGAACGCAGAGTCCCTGAGGCCAGAGGCCTAGGGGTCCTTCGCTGTGAAATTGGGCAAAACGCTGTGTTTTTGCTGGCAAACTACGGGAAACCGATAAAGCTGCAACGAAACCTCTATTCTTGCGAAGGAAACTTCGAACGGACGACATTTTTGCTGCCAAACTTGAAACGAGGAATATTTTTGCTATTAATCCTTACTTTTATATATAAGCTGCAACATGTAAGAAACAATTGTATTTAGCCTGCACACACACACACACACACACACACACAGAGAGAGAGAGAGAGAGAGAGAGAGAGAGAGAGAGAGAGAGAGAGAGAGAGAGAGAGAGAGAGANAGAGAGAGAGAGAGAGAGAGAGAGAGAGAGAGAGAGAGAGAGAGAGATTCCCGAACATGACAATTGTATACATTCATTGTCAGGGTGCGCGGATGACCAATGTATACACGCTATCTTTCCTGTCGGAAGGAGACAAAAGGAGGATGCGTCGTCTTCAAGGAAGCGCGCCGAGAGAGAGAGAGAGAGAGAGAGAGAGAGAGAGAGAGAGAGAGAGAGAGAGACCGAGGTTCCGAAGCACAATAGAACCATGATGACCATCAACAAGGCCAAGGTTGGGCAAACAAACTCGCCTGACGCAAAGAAATGTTCACGAGAAAAATGAGAAATTTATTTTACGATTATTAAGAGGGCAAGCAGAAACTGAAAGCAGATCAGGCTTGAATCCGCTTGATCAACTGTGGTGACGTGTGGTCCAGCTCAACATTCTGAAAATAGAAACCTGTTCCAAGTAAATCGTCGCTGGCGCCTACGTTAACAAGTCGAACTCAGCTCGTTACCAACGGAATTGCGGACAGCTCTGTCAAAGGCTTAGTAAGGTTGCACATGACGGCGGGAATTCAAAATGGCACTACACATCTCTCGAAAGCCTTTAGCACAACTCCCCGGTTTTGGCAGCCGCTCGGCTGTTGGCGATGAGCCTAGTTCTATGTCTTCATCAAAACTGAAGACTATAACCTAGTGGCGATCTTGGGAAATACCGATCGACCTCGGTCCTGTCTATTATTTCATACGACGGAAACCTACCCGCTAAATTCGGTGGTGATGTATAATAGTTTACCCCAACCTTGTGGAGCCCGCGGGTAGTTCAGTACCATACCTAAGGTAAGCAACACTAGTCCGTTCCAGCAATGCATCGCGCAAAGCAATGCTTCAGTTACCCTTCTAGCAAAGGGAAAAGCTGCCCAGATCAGTGGCTGCAGACAGGTTTGCTCCGTCCTGGACACACCTCCCCGTGACCACCTTCATGACCATGCGGCACACTCCCGACATGGCTTACTCCTTGCAAGTTGCGCAAGGGGGCTTGCATTTTCCCTGGACGCACTTGTGCCCGCGGGGACAGTCGCAATCCTTGCAGCACTTCACGCAAGGACCGTGCGGAGTGCACTGCTTGAGTCCAGGCGGGCAGCCGCACGACGGCTTGCACTCTCCTTGCACGCATTTCTTCCCGCTGCCGCAACATCCATCTTGGCAGCACTTCACGCACGGACCGTGGGGAGTGCATTGCTTGAGTCCAGGTGGGCAGCCGCACGACGGCTTGCACTCTCCCTGTACGCACTTCTTCCCGCTGCCGCAACAGCCATC